CCATTACTCTCCTATTAAAATGGCATCTAAAGTAGACAAAATGGGATAAATTACATCAGAAAAATATGTCTTGAGGCTAGCAAGGGTCTCCAGGGAGACTGTCATTCACTAGGCTGACTTGAGGAAAGGGTTGAAAAATGCTTTTCATTAGCACTGTAGTCAAGGTGGGCGGTAAGTAACAAACATATTAATAAGGTTCTGTGTCATCCACTGTGGGCGTCTGCATATTAGAGCAATCATCTGTATTGTGAAATCCTGTTTCTGCAATGTGTTCTGCTATGGGACTCCTATGATCAGTGCCTTTGTGAGGTTCTTTGATCTCGAAGCCCACTGTGGACCCTCACCTGTCAAATACAAGGTGCCTGGCAAATCCCGCCAATTCAAGTTAGGCAGAGCTGGAATTACTATGACTCGGCTTTTGTATGCTTGTAGCATGTAAATTACAGAACAATAGTATTCCCATATTTTTCTTATTACAGGTTTTTCTTAAGAGCTCGTTTACGCTTGCTTGACTTTAACACACTAAAGAGCCTATTGCTTCAACATGTGTTTTTGATGCTTCAGTGATGATTTTTTTAAAGCTTAATAAAGTTTGACAAATGCCCTGTGTGTGTGTTGATTTTATATTTGTTATAAAGGGGCCCAGTAGAATATTGGCTCAGTAGTACCCTCACTCGACAGATCCTCAACTTATTAGTTTCCTCGTTCAGCAGATCCTGTGCTTATGCAGGCCATACATGGGTCGAATTCCGAACAATTTTTTGTCCGAAAATCGAAAACGTTGTTTGCTCGGTAATCTGATGGTGCTATCGATGGTTTCAAAAATCGGCCAACCAAGTCATAAAGTTCACCCCATATAACAGATGAAACTTCTGTTCCTTCCAGGCCACGGCTCATACGCATATTCTTTTCGGAAAAACAATCGTACGATTTCACCATCATGGAGTAAAAAAATTGGTCGTTTTTCACGAATTTTCCAACATGCCCGATCACCGAAAAGGGGAGGAACCACGGAAAACGGCCGGTGCCATTAACCCACTAACAGAGCGAAAATCATCCAATTATTCTTGGGTCGAATTTTGATTCATGTGTGGCCGGCATTAGTAGTAACCCTGGCTCTGCTGAACCCCCGCTCAGTAGTTACCAACAGCTCTGCTGACCAACACCCCCCCCCCCCCCCCCCCGCTCAGTAGTTACCAACAGCTCTGCTGACTAGTCAAACCCCCCCCCCACCCCCGCTCAGTAGTTACCAACAGCTCTGCTGACCTCCCCCCCTCAGTAGTTACCAACAGCTCTGCTGACACCCCTCTCAGTAGTTACCAAGAGCTCTGCTACCCCCCCCCCTCACTTAGTAGTAACCAACAGCTCTGCTGACTGACCCCCCACCCCTCAGTAGTTACCAACAGCTCTGCTGACACCCCCCCCCCCCCTCAGTAGTTACCAACAGCTCTGCTGACCCCCCTCTCAGTAGTTTCCAAGAGCTCTGCTACCCCACCCCCCACTTAGTAGTAACCAACAGCTCTGCTAACCCCCCCCCCCACTTAGTAGTAACCAACAGCTCTGCTGACCCCCTCTCAGTAGTTACCAAGAGCTCTGCTAACCCCCCACTTAGTAGTAACCACAGCTCTGCTGACCCCCTCTCAGTAGTTACCAAGAGCTCTGCTAACCCCCCACTTAGTAGTAACCAATAGCTCTGCTGACCCCCCACTCAGTAGCACCAACAGCTCTGCTCATCCTCTAGTTTGCTGATCCTCCTTTCTCTCTGATCCCCACTCACCTCTTGCTATATTGCTGTTCATCATGTGTGACATTGCTAGTGTTTCCTGCTCCGGTCCCCCATCTCTGCTGATCCTCTGCTGCACAGTCCTCTCACTTTCTGCTATAGTGTTCCCCTGTTGCACACCATGTGTGCCGTCTGCTAGTTGCTTTGCTCCAGTCCTGACCCTGCTCACCTTCCAACTGCTCCATGCTGCACAACAGATGCGATGACTGCACCAGACACTTCCAGAATATATACACATGACCTGACATGACTGCTGATGATGTCTTTCCGGTTCACTTGCTGGTTTCCAAGTGCATCCTGGGATATCCCACACCTGCAATACCTCCAAAGCAAAGCTAATTCTGAATAGAAGCCTCTCAAAAGCTGCAGGTACTTTACGTTACCTTTGTCATAGACTTCTGTGGAGGCTTTTGAGACACTTTGAAGCACCAAGAAAGCAACAAGGGGTACAGTCTTTCAAACAAAGCAATTTATTCTATTCAGTGACAAATTCCTCCAGCCATGTAGCACAGATGATGGAAGTGACTTGGCTGAAGGAGAAAAATAAAGCCATGAATGACTACCCGTAGCTTGTTAAAGTATACTGCTAAATTAATTCCGACTATTCATTAGATGGATTTTGAATAGGAATAACAAAAAGCAGACATTTGAAACTGGAGAAGAACCAGAGATCTCTGTGTTGAAATTTAACCATGGACTTTCTGTAATCACCATGTCACTGGTGACCGACGGGCTTTCTTGAACAGATAAAGGTAAAATAGGACACGTGTTGCTTTCTTCTGCATTTACCTGCCTTTGGCAAGTAGTCAAGTGCAGCATAGAGAACAATTTTTATGGAAGTCTCTGTCTTATTCTTTGCTCAGAACCATTAACTGGATGAAGCAGTGGTGAAAAGTGAACACCGGCCTGCTCACACAGCATGCACCAAGAATATATTTTATAAAATCTTACTTTGAACTCTGGGGAAAATCCTCAATTACCACTTGAAGTGGGGTTCTCCAAGCACTGCAAGGGATAAATGCTCATTTGTCTAGGAGGCTATTAAAGAGCAGTTACACTTACCTTATCTCTTGCTCCAACAGGCAACCTACAGAAAGAGGGAACCTGGAGCAAAGGACAATGTTGGGACAGTGGGGAAAAGATGTAAAAAATTAGATTTAGACTAGAGGGGGAATTTACTAAAACTGGAACAGACAGAATCTGGAGTAGCTGTGCATATTAAACAATAAGCTTCTATCTTCAGCTTGTTCAGTTCAATTAAAAAATAAATAAAATAAGATAAAAGCTGATTCGTTACCATGCACAGCTGCTCCAGATTTGTTTCCCCCTTGATAAAGTCACGTGACTAGTGACAAAACGCGTCGGGGAGGAGTGTGCGGATGACGTCACGACACTGCCATTTATCGGGATAGCGGCTTGTAGTACTCTACAAATGGTTCTTGAAACAACATTACAGCAGGCAATAGCATTCATTAGGTGGTCCCGTGCTTTGCCTTGCATTATATTACGGATGGTGTCCGTTTTGAGCTTGTACAGGACTCTGCTGCTGAGATGATACTGCCATCTAGTGTTTAATCAGTACATCACTGGATCTTCATCACACCTGGTGCAAAATACACCTCCGGAACGTGAGTGTATTTCATATGTTTTAATTGATGAATAAAAGTTTAAAAGGATAAAGCATGTCGAGTTCTTTTTAATGAGAAATATGCCTGATACAAAGACGCTCATCAGGAAGGAGCTTACTTTGGAGTCTTCATTCAGCAAGCTGATCTTCTGAGTCCATATGGGCCCAAAAGTGCAGTTAGACCGTAACATTGTATAATGTGAGGTCACACTGCGTGAGGTGAGCAGATATATGGTGGAGGATGTCTTTGCACGGGAATTGATGACAGATGCCCATATTTTTCATTATCCAAAGGAGGGTTCACACTGAATTGATTGAACTTGACTTTTTGAATGACTTTTGAGTCATACTTAAAATATTCTTTATTTTTTTGTGTGGTATATATTTTTTTTTTATTTCAATAATAATATTTTTTCTACTATTTTTTATATATTTATTTCTTCACTTTGTTTTTTGGTTATATAATGGTTTGTACCATTGTTTCATGTAGCGCAGCATTTTTTCACTTCACATTATGATTGTATAATTTTCCCCACTGAGACATGGGTTGTGTGCCCTAGCGGCTACAGCATTTAATTGTAATTTTTTGTTTTTATTTCACCATAGTTAGCGCTTGAGTTATTCAATTTATTTTAAATTAGACCCATTACGGAAGGGGGGGGGATTAGACCCAATTCTAGGGGGCCCAAATTAGACCCATTACTGGGGGGGGGGGGGGGCAATTTAGATCCACTACAGGGGGGGGCCCAAATTAGACACATTACCCATTACTAGAGGGGGGCAAATTAGACCCATTACTAGGGGGGGCAAATTAGACCCATTACTAGAGGGGGGCAAATTAGACCCATTACTGGGGGGGGGGCAAATTAGACCCATTACTGGGGGGGGGCCCAATTAGACCCATTACTGGGGGGGGGGCCCCACATTAGACCCATTACTGGGGGGGGGGCCCCACATTAGACCCATTAACCCATTACTGGGGGGGGGCCCCACATTAGACCCATTACTAGGGGGGGGGGGGGGGGCCCCACATTAGACCCATTACTAGGGGGGGCCCACATTAGACCCATTACTAGGGGGGGCAAATTAGACCCCTAGGGGGGGCCCACATTAGACCCATTACTAGGGGGGGCCCACATTAGACCCATTACTAGGGGGGGCCCACATTAGACCCATTACTAGGGGGGGCCCACATTAGACCCATTACTAGGGGGGGCCCACATTAGGGGGGGCCCACATTAGACCCAATTAGACCCATTACTAGTGGGGGGCCCACATTTACCCATTACTAGGTGGGGCCCACACTAGACCCATTACTAGGTGGGGCCCACACTAGACCCATTACTAGGTGGGGCCACACTAGACCCATTACTAGGTGGGGCCCACATTAGACCCATTACTAGGTGGGGCCCACATTAGACCCATTACTAGGTGGGGCCCACATTAGACCCATTACTAGGTGGGGCCCACATTAGACCCATTACTAGGTGGGGCCCACATTAGACCCATTACTAGGGGGGGGCCAAATTAGACCCAATTCTAAGGGGGAAGATTAGGCCCATTGCTAGTACATTAGTTTGCTGTACTTACTGCTTGCTCATTTCTCATGCCGACATATTTGATTCCTGCTATTTGTGCAGCAATAGCTATCTCAATCACAGGGACCCCAACAATACCGAACATGTACTTCACATTCTGAAAATAGAAACAAAAAATGAATAGCAAATGGTTATAATTTAGTGTTCCATTTTTTGAGATGTTTCTTTATCATAGTATTCTGTAGAATGACGTGACATGACAGCTTATCAATATAATGTATGTTCCCCATCACAGCATTCCTATTTTTATTATTTCTTCTTTACACAAGTATTTGTGCCGGAGCTGCTTTTCTTCCCCATACAAATTAATGACAAGGCAAAAAGCAATTCCTTGAGCAACTAAAAAGACAAATCAAAATTGAGGCAAGGAAAAGCGTTCCAGAAAAAATCTAAAACATACTGAATGTGACTTGCTTCTGAACTTCATTCTTGTGTACACACAATTGATTCCAGCACCCCATGCATGTCCTTGTGAATCAATGGTACACACAAAATCCCATGCACTTGGTAGCGGGTTCAAGGGTCACAACTAGGGCTCCATCCAGGCTTTCATAGATGGCACTCGCCGTGCTGCCCTCAAAGGACTGGGGAAATCCAAGAACACTGTAACCAATAAAGAGGGTGCACTGGCCTAGTACATTATCCTTAAAATATGATTTGATTTTTATACAAATGGTGTTTATGCTCACAAAAGATGAGTAAGACAAAGGCTCATCATAAAACACACCACCACCATCCAGTCCACCCACAATACATTCCGTCCCATCACGGGGTGAATGGACACATCCAACAGACTAACGCATTTCGAGGACTTGCCTCTTCCTCAGAGCCAACCTCTGGATCTGAGGAAGAGGCAAGTCCTCGAAATGCGTTAGTCTGTTGGGTGTCCATTTACCCTGTGATAGGACAGAATGTATTGTGGACTGGATGGTGGTGTTCTATGATGAGCCTTACTCGTCTTTTGTGAGTATAATACCATTTTAATTTTATAAAAAAAATAAAATCATATATTTTTAAAAGGATAATGCACTAGGTCAGTGCACCCTCTTTTCTGGTTACAATGTCCTCGTGAATATAACAAGCAACTCCTTATCACCAGGTTCACACCTAGAGCGTTTTCTGCAGTGTTTTGCAGAAATGCAGTACAGTCCATTTAACATGATTTCCTATGGAACAGGTTCACATCTCTGCGTTATCGTCCGGTGCGTTTTTTGAAAAAGTCAGGGACTTTTTTGAAGGCAAAACGTTGCGTTTTTGGTTCTATAGACCTCAACAGGAATGCTTCAGAAAAGCATGTATCGTGTTTTTGCAGCATTTTGTGTTTACAATCTGCCTAGCAACAAGAAAAAATAATAATTTTAAAAAAATAAATATAAAACGCAGCAAAAACGCAATGCGTCAAACGCAGCCTGCATAGGTGTGAACCTAGACTAAAGAGGAGCACCAGCTACAAAAAAGTAATACTTAAGGCAAAAACTATTATCTGTGGGGTGAAAAATGTTTACAGCACCTCTGTTTACTGGATACTGCTGCCAGGGCTGGACTTCAAACACTGTGGGTATGAGAGCTGCGGCAGTGAAGCGTTCTTGCCCTTTCCCCTCTCCTTTTCCAGTCACAGAACACCTTGCATTCTGTTCACAGGCACTGTTACCATTTTAAAACCCCAACAAGAAGTAACTATTTATTTTGCCTTAGGAAATCTGTGTGGCTGGAGTTCTTAAAATGCTGCTTTACACTGAATCACGGTACAGAAAACCAAAGTTCCGTGCGTGTTTCCTGCATCGAGTTCAAAGCGTGCTGCGTCTGCGATCTGCAGCGAGTGTCACTGCAAAGTTAACAAAACCCAAACGCAGTGTGTTTACCTGCATCGAATCGCATGGTATCAAAGTACCATGCGAACTGGTTGCTGTGGGTTCTTATGCACTTATGGTGCAATGCAGTGTGACTTCAGCCCAGTCAAATTAATGAGCTGTAAATGCACTGCACTCAAATCAATGGTGTGAATTGGCCCTAAGAACTGCAAGCCAAACTGAAGCGCCTGGCAGCATGTTTTCCTGGATTTGCTATGGAGTCTGATGCTTACATTTATACATGAACCCTTACATGGGTTATAATGGTTCTACACTGCAGTACTACTCTTCCCAGTCACATTTGTACCTTCTCTGCAGAATTAAATCTGATTGGTGAGCATCAGAAGTAAGCCCAGCTTTCATAAGTGACACCAATGTATCAGGCCTCATTTACCTACATGCAATCTATAATATATATATATATATATATATATATATATTGTAGTGGATGTGAGAAATTTTCACATGGTGGCACCTGTTCAGATAACAACCATCTTAGGGCTGCTTCCTAGTACATGCAGTTCAGTGTGGTTTTGTTTTCTGCATCCAAAACATACAGAAAGTAAGTTATATGGTTGTCATTAGCATGGTTCACACCAGTACATGCCGTTCCAGTAAAAAGAAAAAAAAAAAAGAAGAGGAGGAAGAAGAAGAGGGAAGAAGAAGAGGGAAGAAGAAGAGGGAAGAAGAAGAGGGAAGAAGAAGAGGGAAGAGAGAAGGGGGAAGGAAGAGGGAAGGGGGAAGGAAGAAGAAGAGGAAGAGGAAGGAGGAGGAAGAGGAAGGAGGAGGAAGAGGAAGGAGGAGGAAGAGGAAGGAGGAGGAAGAGGAAGGAGGAGGAAGAGGAAGGAGGAGGAAGAGGAGAACATGCTGCATTTTTCCTGCACAGAACTGTACTGGAATGCGGTAAATTGCATCAAAAACCCACCGGAAAAACACTGGAACGCAACAATAATGCATCAAAAATGCACTGGACCCCAAATGACCCAAAAAAAGAAGGAAAAGAAAATGACCCAAAAACGTGTAAAAAAAGGCACATGCAGAAACACATCCAGACTGCGTTTCTATGGTGTGAACCGGCCCTAAATGTTTGTTCACTGATAAATCACTTTTCAGAAGGCTTTTAATAGGGGGTGAATAGGCGTTAAGTCATCTCACCTCCTATTTTAACCCTGGAAATGCCAAACCACTAGCCATTTGAACAGGCAACATTCCTCAGTGATGCTACCTATTTATGTTTTACTATTTATTTGCTGCTTAATTTTGTGTACATCCCTAATCTGCATCTCCTTGCTCAGGTGAGCGATCTGGGAGTGGTAAAACTTCAGCTCAACCACCCGCTTTATTTATTTTAGCACTGCTTGAAGTTCCGCTTTAAAGATAAAACAAACTCTGGTGATAAATGCGCACTAGAGAATGTATTAGATATGTCAGCTTAGCTTTAACCACTAGCCTACTGGGCACTTATACCCCCTTCCCGCCCAGGCCAATTTTCAGCTTTCAGCACTGTTGCACTTTGAATGACAATTGCGCAGTCATGCAACACTGTACTCATATGAAATTTTTTTGAGACAGATAGAGCTTTCTTTTGGTGGTATTTAATCACCTCTGGTTTTTTTATTTTTTGCTAAACAAACCAAAAACAACTGAAAAATATTTTTCTTAGTTTCTGTTATACATTTTGTAAATAAGTGATTTTTCTTCTTCACTGATGTGCGCTAATGAGGCTGCACTGATGAGGAGGCACTGGTAGGTGGCGCTGATGGGCATTGACAGGCACTGAAAGACAGCACTCATATATGGCACTGATAGGTGGCTCAGATGGGCACTGATATGTGGCATTGATGTGCACTTGGTAGGCACTGATATGTGGCATTGATGTGCACTGGTAGGCACTGATATGTGGCATTGATGTGCACTGGTAGGCACTGATATGTGGCATTGATGGGCACTGGCAGGTGGCATTGATGGACACTGACAGGTGGCACTGCTGGGGTTACACTGATCATCAGGGCAAACTGATGATCTGTGTAAATGTCCCCTCTGAGGGATGCGATTACCGGCTCGCCTCTCGAGCTGTCAGCGTGACAGCTCATGGGGACAGAAATGCTGATAACCGACATTTCCCTATTTACATGTAGTCAGCTGTGATTGGAGACAGATGATCACATGACAGAGCCGAAGTCTTCGGCTCTTTTCGTTGACTGGTGATCTGCTGTGTCCGAGGGACACAGCACACCACCAATCTCGTGGTTAGAGTGGGAGGACGTCATATGACGTCCTCCCAGAACGAGAGAACCACCTTGCATATAAGGAAATGATGGGCGGGAGGCGATTAAAAGGAACACTAAGCTCTGTTTTTTCTGGGATTGTGCACTGCATTCCTGTGCGATTCGCGGGTGTTCACACGGGGTCTGATTTTGGAGCCCATTCCTCTAAACATGTAAAAAGTAGCACACACATGCAGATCTCAAGGGCAGGGTGTGTGAACACGGTGCGGGAAACTTGCACAGAACACACCTTTTCCGCACCGTGTTCTGCTGTAAACTGGATCTAAAAAAAAAAAAAAAAAAAAAAAAAAAAAAAAAAAACACACAAAAACTCAAAAACTCGAAATGCTATCAACCGCTTCCTGACTGCCCTATAGCAGATATACTGCTACAGGGTGGCACGGGTGTGTGTGAAATCACATATAGATATTTATACACACAATTTAGCATTTCCGGATAGGGGGTGTGTGCGTGCGAGGCACGTGTGCACACTACCCGCGTCGCCATTCGCCGGCTCCTCCCTGTCACTTTGTGCACACTGCTTTGGATGGCTGTGCAGTGTCAGTTCTTTTTTTTTTTTTAGCACTGATTACTGTATTGGTGTCACTAGGGATGTCAATGACACCAAGGCAGTTCCCCCCAGTGTCAGAATGCGTGTCGCAGTCCCGCTATAAGTCGCTGATCGCTGCCATTACTAAAAAAAAAAAAACAAAAAAACAAAACAATTCCAGTATCTATGCCGTCATTTGTAAACCAATTGATTTACACCTATTGGGATTTTTTTTTAGCAAAGACATGTAGCAGATTACATTTTGGTGTAAATTTATGACGAAATTTGATTTTTTAAATGTTTTACTAGACATGTTTAATAGCAAAAAGTCATAAATATTGTTTTTTTTTTCTCCAAATTGTCGTTCTTTTATTTTATAGTGCAAAAAAAAAACAAACAAAAAAACCCCCCAAAAAAA